AAAAGGAAACAAAGCGCCAATTATTTGTTGAAAAATCGAATTTTTTTCCTTAAACATTTATATTACATATTGACTAGTCATAGCTACCGCTAAGTGCCAACGAGCAGATGATGTTTTGCAGAAATTGTCATGAAGGGGATTTAGCGCGACATTAACAAATAGATGAAATATGTAACTAAGAAAACAGTTAGAGTCATGTGAAGTTTGTTGTCTTTTCGATCTTATCCTGGATGGGTCTCCTCCATGATGTCAGTTTTTTATAAGTGTCAGATTTTTATGTAGACTCGGTCAACAGATATTATTGCAATGTTAATGGTTTGTAGTAGACTATAGACTCTTCCAAAGTCGATTACCAGTCGTCGAAGCACGCCATAGCTAAAAGAAACTGTTGAAGTTAAATTACTGAAAAGACCATAGACGGTGAGTAAATTAGGTCTCTTTTCCTTCATTTTGTTGTATTGACCTGTGCACACTTCCTAGGAGAGTTTTTAGTCAATCAAATTGTATGATTTTAACCTGAAAGTGAACAATTGCCTCACCTATCCGCCTAACTATTAGTCATATAGTCTTYCCACTGAACATGGATATCTAAGGATACCTTGGATAGCTATTCTCTGAAAGCAATTGTTCATTGTGCCGTAAATCATAAATGGCACTGACCAATAAATGAGTACTTTAACTCAATGTGAGAATTCAATGAAATGTACTCTGTGCTCTTGTTAGATAGTTTTGTTTGTTTTAAAACTGACAGTTTGTCAAATAGTGCAGTGGCACGCTGGCGGGTCATTACACATTCAGAAAATTTCTGAATGATTTCATATGTACAGATGTACGCTTTTTTTCTGAATTTCTTTATATGTAAGATGATATTTAACAACTTTACAAAATACATATAGAAAAATTCAGAAATTTCTGAATTTTCCTGTTCACAATAATTATTATACTAGTAAAAAAAAAATTCTGAATTGACAAAATTCAGAAAATTCTAAGACTTGTCTTGTAATAAGAAAAAACAAAGAAAGTAAAATTCAGAAATTTCTGAATTTTTCTATATGTACTTTTATAGATTACAAATATGAAAATTTAGAAAAAGATCATTTTATCAGTAATAATGTAAAAATTCAGAAATTTTCCAAATATATCAATTCCCCACGCTGGCTTATTCGTGATAGCCTGCGTCACATCCGGACAAACTTTCGGTTAAGTCCGTCTGTGAAACAGCGTAGAAAAGCTTGTTCCGACCCCCAGCGGACTATCAACGATATATGAAGCGATTTCTGATTGGCTGTTACCAATTCGATTTCTAACACGATCGGTGATTGGCTAATGACCTGTCACAACAAACATCGTCGCGCGAAGCCGGGTCAGCACGTGAATATTTGACAGATCTAAGCGAAGTGTTTACATTCATTAAAGACAGTGTTTTTGATTTTTATGGAATCTGTTTCCTGTAGTTTATGTTTTTGTTTTATACCTAACACCTATGATAGACTCTCTATAAGTGGAAAAGGAAAATTCGACGTASCTAAAGAGCTAAAAAACCTTTCGATCGAGCCGTCATCGAAGCACATTTGTCGAGCGTGTTTTCGAAAGCTAAAGAGACCAGGACTCGCAAGCGATGATGTAGCTACGATGACACCTCCAAAAAAATCGAGGGAAAATTCTCCTACAAAAGTATTGACTTCAACACCGGCGGGCAAAATTCGCAAGCCAATATGTCCTCTTAGTCCGCTAAGACAAGAAAACCAGGAGGACCAGAATATCGATCAGCCAAAAAAAAAATGTGGACGTTAAAGTTCGTGTAGCTTGGCCGTCAAAAAACAGGGAGGTAAAGCTTCCAGGAGATCTCGAATCTTTGGGGAAGATGCTTGTCCGCGGGACATATAAGCAGATCGCTGGCGCGGCATGGAAAGTCTCAAGACTAAAGGATGAGCTTGTTAACTTGATGCTTATAGATAACAATTAATGTAAATATTTTTATACCTAAATTAGCAAATAAAACTATTCAAAATGATTTGCCTGGTTAATTCAANTTTCTTTTCCTCTTTACTCTTGTTGTCAACAGCTCAGGTAAAAGTGCTTTCTTGAAGAAGAACTCAAGTTGTTGATACATGTTATCAACCCAGAATTGTTTGTCAAAATCAATTCTTTCAATGAAAACAGGAATGCCATCGCCAAAATACACAACAAAATCAATAAATTCAAATCCAGAAACAAAAAGTTGGCCTTGTAATTGATAGAAGTAGTTGTGGTTTCTCTTAAGATAAATCTTTCCATCAGCACTTTCTTGTAAGAAAAATGATTTTTTCATACAAGCTTCATGTACTTGCATTCCATGTTTGCTTATTGGGCATTTAACCTCGACTCCCCACCTTACTTTGTTTAGCTTGTCAACAATAACTCTGTCTAGACTTGCACCAAGAAAGGGTTTCTTTGCTGAGATCAAAAGTCCAACTTCTAAAGCTTGATAATTATCATTGCACAGCCTTTCTTTCTCTTGTTTTAAATAAAGTTCAACAGCCTTACTCTCATTTTCTTGCCCATATACTGTTGCTTCAGTTGTGAAATTGCTGTAAAGAATGGCTTTTAGTTTTTTGCTAGGTTCAACTTTGTTTTTACAAATCATCCCAAAATTGGATGCAGTCAAAATCTCCTTGCGTTTATTGTGCCATACAGAATTTTTTTGTTGCCCCCTTGTAGCTTTTTCAATGTTTTCCACTTCATTGGCTGGAATATTAGAGTAATGAGAATTGAAATAGTGATCAATAATGTCCTTGAATTCATTGCTTGATATATCATATAAGTCATTAAATGCTGAGTCAGTATCAGATATTTCATTCATAACTGGATTACTACTTTCATAGTTTCTACTTTCATGGCCTTGATTAGATTTGCTCTTTTTGTGCTGATTTGATTCCAAGTCATGAAATAAGAAAAATGAACTCTCAGATAAACAGTTTTGTAAAGATGAGCAGAGTTTTCTAAAATCATTTTCGTCTCTAGTGCGCTGATACGGTGCACGTGGATCATAAGAGATAATGTTCGGGGTAGTTCTAATGTTAGTCTTTCCAAAACGTATCCTTCGAAATAAAAGGCGGTCAATAGGTCTTGGTGTTACAGTCTGTACTCTTGGTACCACCCAAACTGACAATCTTGACGTACACGACAAAGGTTCTGGATGCTTTTGCAATCCGCGACGCGTAAAATCCTCAATGGAAAACAAAACTGCACCAATATGATTGCACTTTCCCATGCCATACTTTCCAAGACCGGCAGGGCACGTACAAGCAGCTTTGAGCACATCGTCATCGAGAGAAAATTGTAACACTGTACTATAACGTTTCTTTTTCATTGAGGCTAATACAAAAGCTTTGACGTACTTAAAAGAACCAATTTCTTTACTCTGCATGCATTTTATGTGACCTTCTACGAAGAACTGGTAAGACTTTAGTCTTTTGAAATTGGTACCTTTTAAGACGATATGTCTGTACTTTTTCGTTGTTACTACCAAGAAGTTATAAAGCTGAATAAAACTTAGATCCGGTAAGTTCCGTAAATCTGCACTCCAATCTGCTAACGTTAATTCATCTAACACATTCTTAACGGTGAAATCTGTGCGATCAGCTGGGTTTTTTGCCGGTATAACTTGTGACACAGTTGAGATCGGGCAGTTCGGTTTTGGAGTGACATTTCGCATCAGCAAAGCATAAACTTTCAGGACTAAATCGGCCTTCAAACCACTTGTCTTTTCATGATTAATTCTTAAGACAGCTCTTAAATCCTTTGCCGATAGCTTTTGTATATCTCCTAGAGAATTCCAAGTGGTATCATTGTATTTCAACATTGTTTTTGTAAAGCTGTCAAACTCACGTGGAGCAATGTTTACATGCTATCATTCGCGCGCTCTCACTGGTAACCTCGTTTTAATGCTGAATGTATAATTTATTTCCAAGATGGCGGCTATCCGTGAGGGAGACTATTCGAATTGGTAACAGCCAATCAGAAATCGCTTCATATATCGTTGCTAGTCCGCTGGGGGTCGGAACAAGCTTTTCGACGCTGTTTCACAGACGGAAAAAAACCCTGAAAGTTTGTCCGGATGTGACACAGGCTAATTCGTGAACGCGTTGGTTCGTTTTGGTACTCAAGTTTATTGAACACGCTGGTTCGAGGATTGACTAAAAACACTCTTAGGAAGTGTGCACAGGTCAATGCAACCAAATGAAGGAACAGACCTAATTTACTCACCGTTTATGGTCTTTTCAGTACTTTAACTTCAACAGTTTCTTCCTTTAGCTATGGCGTACTTCGTCGACTCGCAAGCGACTTGTGATGCCAGGACCATGAGACTATCGTGGCTTCCGATTGGTTTAGATCGGAGTTCTATTGTGTGCTCCAATTGGTTGACTCGTAATTCCATTGTTACATCACATTACATTCGAATCGAGCTTCGTTCTCCATAACCTTTTCGTGCATCGGCTCTATGATGCGTCTTCGCTCGGCTGGTTTGTTGGCAATAATATTAGAACAATTAATCACAAGGAAAAAATCCACTAAAGAGCGAAATAACAGCACAGAAATATTCCCACCAATTTTGTCATAACTTCAACGGGTCCGCACATCCAGGAAATCGATTTGCGAAGATGAAAAGCAATTTAGGCCCATCTTAAAAGTGATATTAGAAAAAAGGATTTTACTTTGATATTTCGACAACAAAAAAGAGATGATACTTTATTGGAAATACTTCAATTATATGGACCAATATGGGAAAAAGCAGGGATCTATGCGAAGTTCTTTTGTCGACTAAAAGTGTGGACATTTCGAAACCAAGACCATGCTAGCAGTTAGATTGAGAGAGATTAAAAACAAAGAATCTACAGTCTTGAATGACTTAATAGATTGATGAAACCTATGCTTGAAACAAGTATGGCTCTGTTGAAGATGACCTTTGAACGATAATATTTATCGGAAGTTCGATAATGAAGGTTAAAAATATATTTTTGTATACAGTTTTCTGTGATATGTGAAGTTCGAGTAGTCCGGGTTCAAACATCGATTATTGAAACAATGTTGATTATTGTAAGCTTATGTAGACTACTTTTTGCCGAGAAGCTTTCAGTTTACTTTTAAT